TGTGGGCGTGGATGTGGGTGTGGGTGTAGGTGTGGGTGTAGGTGGGAGCGTGGGTGTAGCTGTGGGCGTGGATGTGGATGTGATGAATACCCAACCGTACCCACGCCCACACCCACACCCTAAGGAAGAATATTTACAAGTGAGACATTGAAAACTTTTATAGAAATTATGCTCCATACTATATTCTAGACGCATCTTTAATATTCTGTCAATATTTACTCATGTTATTGGACGTAGTTTCGTATATTGTCTTATTTGACGATCATTTTCAATAGTTACTAACAATTCTATATTACTTTCATCACTCATACGCTTTTGTATCGTAGGTAGTGGTCCATCTGGTTTTTATTTAACACAAAATTTAGTTAAACTTCGCCACACAATACCAACAACAATTGATATTATTGAAAAATCATCTTCATTTTTTGGTCTTGTTCTATATCATGGTGTTTCACATGATCATCCTGCAGTAGAAAATGTTATATAAATATTTACAACAATAGCTGAACATGAATATGTGGAGGAATTACAAGAATTTTATCATATTATTTGCCTATAGTTCACCTCTCGAACGTAGTTTTAAGATTTTTGGTGAGAAAACATTAGAAAATATTTTTTTCTACTAAAGATTGTGTTGGTTAGTATAATAATAAAACGAAAAACAAAATATTTTTTAATTCATTATTTAAAAAACATTTTTCAAACACGTGTACTAGAAAATGCTCAATTTTAAGTACAAATTGATTGTACAACAGATCAAACTGTTATTATAGAATTGGGAAATATAACATTTTGATTGTGCTAGAATTCTTCTTTCATCTATTGATGTTTTAGCTAAAACAGATATTACTGATATTGTAGTACTTGATATACTTCGTCAAAGTCGAATACAACATATGATGCTTGTGGGTCGACGTAGACGAATCCAAATATTGTCATTTACTATAAAAAAATTTCGTGAACTTACTAAATTAACTGATTTACAATCAATGTTAAACAAATATTTTAATTGAATTGATCAAAATATGCTTAATAAATTAGAATGGCCAAGAAAACGATTAACCGAAATAATGTTTAAAATAGTTTGAACAAATTTGTATTTTTGAAATTTATTATTATTGAACAATTTTTGGTATTTATGATTTTGGCGCCATTCAAAACAATTGTTGAAAGTGTTCATTTCGAACATATAGAACCTGTAGCTGGTTGTGGTTTTTCTGACCAAAATCGATTCGTCTAACAAAATGAAACTGAAGAGACAATCCCATGTGTCTTGTCATTAAAACTATAGGTTATTATTACATCCAAGTAAAAATGAAGAGAATCTTTGCTTTTCTCATTGAGTTCGAAAATTAAAATACTTAATAATCGGAAATGCAGTAGAATAAGACGGATCATCTCAATAGAAGACTAGACATGGTGGTACTACTTATGTCTAGAGTAGCCACCATCGGTGAGTGACTATGAATGCCATCATGTATGTGAGAGATAGTATGTTCGAATCTAGACGCCATTCTCCTCTATATTACATAGTCTTGAATAAACATTTAGGACTAAGACGTTGACTCATTTTTAGAATAGTATACTTACTACGCCGTTCCATTTATCTTTGTGATATGTTTTCTCGACATATTGTTTGCGTTTATATAGAAACTCCTAGTCGATACTTTCTATGTCAATTGATCATAGACTGACCAATTTTGAGAAGTCTGACGAAAAATCAATACGTTTATGTAGTTTCTAGAAATATCTCGAGCAATTCTGAAATAGACAGTCCAATGAAATATAAAGAACAGGTATTTTGCTTTCTAATATAAAAATCTTACTCAGTTTCTTTTCGTATTGAAATTCGTCCAAAAAAATCAAAGCCTAATTGAAACCATCTATGAAGTTTTTATGTAAATCAAAATATTTACCGCAAATTAAGTATTGTAATTTTTCAACTAATAATACCTTAAATTTAATAGTAACAATGAAAAAATGAATAAGAAATTGTTTGATTTTACCGAACAAGAAAACACCAACACTTAATAAACATTCAATAAAAGAATATCCAAATTGGGTACATTGTTGACAAAAGGTAAAGCACTTATTATCATAATATTTCGAAAATGACATTTTGGTGTTCTATGAACAAAAAAATAATAATAAAACTGCTACTGCACTTCGTAAGGGATTAAATTATGAAACACGATGTAGCTGCTGTCGCTAAACACAAGAAGATTGTTTTATTGAGTCTAATTTAGAAGAGATTTCTTCACCATTCTGTTATCTGATGCTCAGAAATGCAATAAGGAAATAGTTAACTAGACGGTATTGAGGTACGGTCTTTGATTGTATATCAACAAAGCATATTACTGTCTCTGATAAAACAGAGAGACGTGCAGCTGAAATGATTCTCCATCAGCATTAGTAGGCTCGAAGACCTCAACGAAACCATTTGAATGAGGATCTGCGCAAAATCAAGACGATCAAAACCAAATTTCTCGTATCTATTCGAAGCTTTTGAGAAAAATTCTTATTGGATAGAGCAAAATGAGAAGTCTTCGACCTCTCCATGACCCTCCTTCATTGAACTGCTTTTTGGATTCTCGTTAATCGAAAACAAGTCGATGAAGGAAGCACATGGATAGCTCGGTGACGTCTTACTTTGCTGTATCAAATAAAATTTTTTTCGAAGATCTTAATCCAAGCAATTCTATTGAAGTCTTTGAACCTGCTATTGCTTATAAAGAATTGTTTCAGCTGCACAGATGTTTTATATTTCAACAATAGATGAATCATTTCTTACATATTTTCATCCGATTTTGACTTATTGAGCGTCGATAGTATCTTTGATCAATGATCAAAAGCTTTCTCAGCTTCTTCTGGCGATCCATTAAAATCAATTTCTTCTATGGGTATCATTATCTGAAGAAAGGTTGCGTAGAAAAATATATTTTATTTCTATGTCATTTTGTACGGTGATCTCAAAATAATATAATGCAATAGAAAAGATGAGTCATTCATTTGTCATAAAACTACATATTTTCTTCTTTCTAATATCAGTTCTTATTTTGGATTACATCTGATCAACACACATAGGAAAAAAAGATAACGTATGTAGTACGAACCAAAACAGTATTCTAGAAGATTTTTTCGACAAGTGGATTAATCATCGAAACGAAACAAAAAAGGATAATAACATATAAAGTTTTTTGTTTTGAGCAAAAAAACGTACTGATTTTTTTTATCAGCCGCAAAAGCGAACCTATTTTCATGGTTGCAGTTCGAAAGACAATTCAACGAACTTACGTTCTTGAATGGATTGCATAAATAGCACAGAATCGAAATGATGAATAGTCCACATGAACGAATTCTAAAAATCAAAGAGATGAATGAAGTCCGAATCGAAAAAATATTGTTAAATTCTTTTGGAAAATAGATCACATCACTCAAAATAGAGAGAACAAAAATTCAACTTGAAATAACAATATGCTTTTCGACTGAGACGATGTTCATTTGATGTATAATAGAAAAATTTAGAATAGTTTTGTTTTTTAGACCTTCATTATTTTTCAACAGAGACTTGTAGTCCTATTCAGGTCACATGAAAAATTGACTTTCGAATTGAAATTTTGCATGAACATGGGATTAATTCTTTGGGGCAGTTGTAAGTTTTCTAGGTTTTTCCATCCTGAGATATTGAATATTCGAAATTTCTTGTATTAACTAATCTTGTTAAGAACTTTGTTTGCTCAAAGTTTGAAGTCGAAATTCTCTTTTCCAGATGACCTGACGGGAACTACAGGTTTTTATGCTGAAATGTCCAGTAAAATTTCCATACATGGAGAACGAAGGTTCGGAACAACAATACTTCGTCAGTCAGCTTTTCATATTCTCATCTGATGTTTGTCCTTCGATAGATGGAAAAGTTCTTGATAGGATTTTATGTAAAAAATTGATTTCGTCTTTTTAATATCCAAATTAAAAGCAAGCAAAATTTTGATAATGTGTTGAATAATGTTCGGTGATCAACTTTGTTAAGGAATTACATTAAACATCTAATTACAATATTTTGCAAAAATACTTCATCACTTTTTCTTCTCATGTTTTTCTGCTATAAGTTGATGTTTGATAGCCGTTAATAGTTTTAGATAATAGTATATTTAGTTGTCTGTTAGGAACGTATGATAGACATCTGAAATGTCGTTCTATTAAATTAATTAATGGCTTCACTGTTGATGATGTGAAAAATGAGTGTACCAAAACTGATTATAATAAAAAGAGCTGACAAGCTGCTTGGAAGTCGAAATCAATCAGCAATTATTAAACGGTAACAATTGAAGCTTTCCGATAATGATCTTAAAGATATGTTACCTCTTAAGCAAATAAAGGAAAACATATATGAACATGATAAAGGAAAAATTATACGTCGGAGAAAAACAACAAGATCAGCGACACAATCAATCGAAATTTACAACAAAGATTAACGTAAAAGCGTCGACGAAATTTATAAAATATAAACATCGGAAAGAGTATAGAATGTTCAATGTTTTGGTATTATAGAAGACGAAAATTTATGCATTATAATGACTTTTGTCTTTATTTGAAATATTCAAGCCTCTTTTATCCTTTGCCTAGTCATCTTCATTCTCTCTCAGCCTTTTCATTCTCAGTCAATTATCTTGAATTGTGATGAAATTGAATAAAACTTGATGTGCATAGCATCGATAGATTTTCGATATGTTAATTTTCCGTCCTTTATTTTTATTCTTACTGTTCACGTCTTGCTTTTTTATATTGATGGCTGATGCGTTCTAAACATCACACATTAGATTGTTTACCAACATTACATGCAAACATTACATTTAGGACTGTTCTCTCATTCTTTTTCTCTATCCAGCACTAATCATTAATACTAATTATAGCTATTTGTCTAAGCTCGGACACAAGCCATTCGATGAGTAATCGAGCTTACCGAAATAATCTACTCTCTCTCCGTCTCCTTTCCAACGGCCTATTATGATCAACAAGAGTTATATCTGTTTCACATGAATCCAACAGCTCTCTACTGTATAAATAAAAATTGCGTAGCTTTTCATATTCTCTATCTCAAGTATGTTATTTATAGAGAAATAATGAGAAGAATAGCAAAAAAAAATTTCTACTCATCACAATTCAAAAAGACAATGTCTCATTCCTCTTATGTAGAAGCAGCTCTTCTAAAACTTTTCCATAAAATAAAAGAATTCTTGAATGTCTAACAGTCAGTATCTTCATGAAAGACATGCAAACAGTTGTATATCAATACAGTGGTGTTTACTACTTTTTCCTTTTTCTGGTCGTCCGCTTAAGCAAAATAATTTTAATATAAATTTAATACAATATTTAGTCTGCATTTTTTTTTATTCTTGTTTTTGTTTCTTTCGTGGTTTTTTGATTATTCTTCTTTCTCTCTCTTGCGCCATGTGCGTTTTAGATTATTAAAAAAAAAGAGTGGTTGATTATTAAATTTTATTGGAGATTAATAAATACTACAAAAAAATGAAAAAATGAAAAAATACAAATATTAAATAAATAGAATAAATGAAGAAAAGAAGACTAACTAAAAATAAGAAATAAACTATAATTTAAAATAGGTTAGAATAATGTTATTGGCGTTTGCTTGATTAATAAAATAATGCTGGGTTGAGTTTGTGCTTTCTAGAAAGAAAAAATATATTTATTAACTTTCGTGTAAAAATGTTATACAGGTTTAACTTACTGGATTTGTTGGTAAGGTATCAATTTAAATATGTGTCTGACGTAGACAAAAAGTTGGAATCATACAGAAAGAACGTCTAGAAAAGGGGGAAACTCTTTTACAATGGTATCGGTAGTAGAAAAAAGCTGCAAACTTTACTAAACTAATGAGTCAACTTCTTGAAATGCTCATTTGTTTATAACTTGAGAGTACATTTAGACGATAAGGCCTAGTGAATGGATAAAACCTGATTGATCGGTTTGTCTTCACTCTTAATCGTAAGTGACG